AGCCCAAACGGAGGCAGCGGAATGGTCCAAGTGTGTGGTAAGAAATGGGCGTCAGCCAGCGGTGCTTGAACCACTTATTTCTCGATCCCCTCTGCATGAAAAGTGGTTCCGTTATTTCTGTCGTGCTCGCACAGCGCGTCTGGGCGAGTGTTTGAAAAATCGCAACAAGCATATTATTTATAGTGGAGAAAAATTGTCAACACAAGCCCAAACGGAGGCCGCGAAATGGTCCAAGTGTGGGGTAAGAAATGGGCGTCAGGCAGCGGTGCTTCAACCGCTTATTTCTCGATCCCCTCTGTATGAAAAGTGGTTCCGTCTTTTTTTTCGTGCTCGGAGGGTACGTCTGGGTGAGTGAGTGTTTGAAAAATCGCAAAAAGCAACTTCTTTATAGTGGAGAAAATTTGTCAATACCAGCCCAGACGGAGGCGACGATCGATGCTGCTGTGATTTTGATTTCTGTGACTTAGTATAGGCAGACTTGTATCAAACTCTGTAAGGACTGGAGTAGCTAACGCCCCCGAGTCTTTGTAAATACAGGCGGAAAAGGGTTTCTCTGACAAAGATGCTGCGAACGAGATGCTCTCCCGAGTCGGTCGTGAAAAGGGCACAGATACGGTAACGACATGGTTTACGAAATTCGTTGCCGGCGGCAAAGGGAAGAAGTGCGGGCGTGACGTTGGTCCCCCGAGCACCTCTGACAGCGCGGAGGCATGAGAGGGTGTCGAAGGCGCGCACCGCCAGCCTGTGCGTTGTACGCGTCCTGCAAGATTTATGCGTTTGTGGCAGCAGAAGGGGTGGCTCAGTCGGAAGTACAGGGAACTAGGAAGTGCAGCAGTGTGCGTAGCTCCGTCAACCCAGAGGACGCCCAGTTGGCGTGAGAGCCATTGCGAATTTTAATTTTGTCTCCAAAATGGGCGTTCGGTACAGTGATGTTGCTTGCCTTGAACTTCGCCGCATTTTTCAGGGCACCTACAGGAGGAGAACTTCGACGTTAATCTCTTACTCGCATAGTGTTGTCACCTTAGCCCACACTTTCGTGAGAACGCCTGCAATCCGACATGGTGGCTTCCTGCGCGTGGTGCATGGTGCTGTGCGTACACGCCGTAAACACGTGCCACCGTTTCGGCGAATAAACAACGTTGACAACAACAACGGCAGTTGAAGGAACACACGGGTAGTGCAGGAACTCGTTGCTCTCCTGGATCCTTTGTCCTCAGCATACATACAATCTTGAGCTAGTCTTGCGGCGGAGCACGCGATAAGAACTCGGTCTCAGAAATATTGTGGGGTTGTGACCTAAAAAAACACAAAGAAAGCTTGTGGGAAAAATTGAGTCCACCTCATAAGAACTTGGAGCTAACCATTGGATGTTCCTGTACATGTTTTATCTTTCGTTCTCCAGCGCTGACGTCGTTTGCTTTGTCCGTAACAATACCATACACTTTGTTGTACTAGTACGGCGACACCAAGTTACACATATTGGGTTCGCAGAGGACGTTCAAGGAAGATAATACGTATGTACTGGTGGTGATGGTATCCTATCCTCGGCATATTCAAGTCATGACACATGCGAAGAAGATCTTCCCCTGCGGGAATATGTTGCATTTGTTATTTTCTTCATCCCCCCTGACGGTAGCAGATAGTGGGACAACCACCCCTGGACACACTTGAGACCAACCGAAGCGAATCAGCGACCCCAGACCTGGAACGTAATGCAAGAATATTATTGGAATTTTGAACGTCGGGACTGCTGTGGGGAGAGGGGCAACGGTCTAGTTCCGAAATCAATATCGAGACACCCTTCCTGCGGCTACTTTTCTGATTCAAGCAGCCTCTGCTTCACCCCAAAGACACTTTGCGATATTGCTGCTACAAAGGCCTGTCCTTGGTGGTGGACAAGTCTAAATCCCCGGGGATTAGAAATGAAAATGCCGCGTGAACCAGTGATCAAAAGTGTTTAAATTGATGATGTTGTGCCTTGCCAGCAAGGGTTCCAACACGCGTGCCAACGAATGCGACTCTACCTTTCGATCCCTGGGTGGAAATGTTGAACCCCAGGGAGACCCCCTGGGCACCCCCGGCGAGCCCTGGGAATGTGGGATGACCCCTAGATAACCCTTACCCTAACCCTGGGGCCCTACCGGCGAAAAATACCGTCGACGCTCTGAACCGCTGGAAGCTGTCACACAGCACTGCATGTGCGGCGAACCGTAGGGGCCATGCGCGTTGCTTGACGGAACTAGGCGGCGCCCATCGCCTCACATGCAGCAGCCGGGTACACGGGTAGCCTCCTACTCAGCAAGATGCAAAACGATTGCCGTTGACGTTCGATGTTTTTGGGACCCTAACGGCGAAAATGCAACAGAGAGAGAGAGAGAGGTAGACTAAAAGGAAGAGAGACTCGAGAAGACAAGTCATGAGCTCTCGAGAAGACACTCACTCTCATCCCTCTGGCCCACCGCAGGCTTGAACACGTGTAACGAACGGCGACATCCAATGTGCGCTCAGCAACAACAAACACGACAAATGAAAGAAAGTCGCCGTTTCCGAACTGCTGTGGAGATAGATACTGCCGTAAGTTGGTGGAGACTTTCTTTCTTTTCTGGTATGAAGTGGCAGCAAAGAAGAACACGACTATAATATCTGTGTAGACTGAAGCACGACGGATGCACTATTAGCTCAATGCGCTTGCCGTCGCGATAGATGCGCATCGCTACCACTATACGAACGAACAGACTGTTGTCCAACCTGACTACGATCACCGTACGACCATTGCAGCACACTCCGAGCATGCAACCACAGCAGCAGCCGCATGTTATTTTTTTTCTTATGTTTTCTCCCATCATTGGACTGCCGTCTGCCCCCCAAGCCCCTATCCTCCACTTCTACAGCTAGACGACCCAACCGGGGTCACATAGGAGGGGGGGGTTGGACCCCGGGTTGGACCCCCTCCTACGGTTCCTGCCTGAGATATTTTTATCGCGAGAAGGGTACAGCAATCCCTTCCCCCGCGACTTGTGCAGTCAATCAAGTTTACTAACACAACAACGCACTTTGGCAGCGCGCAGCTTCCAACGGAGACCAGGATATAATTAGCGAGAAAAATACTCACTCTGTCGGGACTCGAACCCATGACCTGGCCCTGAGCATGCGACGAGGTTCCCACCAGACCACCGGGGCGACCGGCTCATACGTACAATGGTCACTCAAGAACAAACGCAAAAAAAAAATGGCGCGCAGCACGCAGGACCCTCTTCCGCTGTTCAACTGGCCGTTTCCATGGCGAAACAGGCAAGGAACAGTCAACGCCGATTCTTGCCGGCCGCACGAGGCGGAAGCTGCTCAAACTTGGGGACGGGTCATGATTTCCGATTCCACACCGAACCATACTCGAGGCGCCACGAGAGTTGCACTATAGCTCGAGATCAGCATGTTAGACCGGGGCGGGCAAGTGTTGAGGCATGCGAATGAAACTTCCACGGATATTGAACGATGAGACTGAAGCTAAAGCTTCAGAACAGTAGACAGACGGCGACGCAAACCTGGAGCTTTGCTCGTATTCTTCTCTGGCAGAAAAAAGCAACAACAATATTATCTAAATATTTTTTCAGCACATAAGACCCATGTTTATGGTTCCAAATTTTTTATCTTCCTTTCTTTGGACAAATGTTGACTTTTCCGACTTTTGGGCAGTCCGCCTCCCGAACGAATGCGAATCAGCTGTTCGACCTTTGAGAATAGTCACAGCTTTGCCTGAGATGTATGCAGGCCGCATATTTGTTTCGCCAGGGTCCACGTTTGATTTTTTTCCAGCAGAGCAAGATGTGCAAGATTCGGCCGAAAGACCACCTCCGAGCAAATCTTGGGCCAAGATCTGTCCAAAAGCTGGTGTTGGAAAAATCTTGCGTGAAAATTGCACATCTTGCAAAAATCAAACGTGGGCCCTGGCGAAACATATAGGCGATCTGTAGACATCTCAGCGAAAGCTGTGACTATTCTCAAAGGTCGTACAGCTGATTCGCATTCGTTCGGGAGGCAGACTGCCCAAAAGGTCGAAAAAGTCAACATTTGTCCAAAGAAAGGAAGATAAAGATTTGAAAACCATAAATAAACATGGGCCTAAACAATAAATCACACCTACATTGTGAATAGTATTTCCGCGTAAACGTCGGCGTGTACGAACGGCTGCTGCGCGACCTCGTTTACTTGTTGAAAAGAAAACAGCTACCCTCACCAATACGATTATCCCACACGCCGCCCACCCTTCCGCCGACTAGCTCCGAGAAACCAACTACTGTGTTGCCGTGAGCGGTATTAGGCTCTGCCAAAACACCGCTTACGACTCTCGATAATTCTAGTGCACCAGGCCCGGAGTCCATGTGTGGGATATCATTAGTATTGGTGGGGATCGAACCCAAAACGTGTCGCTACTGTTGTCGGTAGACGGTCATCTTCCAACTCTACCTACTATATGTGTTCATGTAAAAAAATCGTGGATGACCCAACATCCTCCGTGAGTGGCGACCTTCTAATCACGAGTAGCGCTGAGAAAGGTGGTGTCGTTGGCGGGACTGCAGCCATCAGACGTTCAACGATACGATCGAGGACGAGCGAAAAAATAAATCACAGTTACCGGACACCGGCATGAAGAGCGCGCACACGGAAAATTGTATGCACCAACAACAGAGCCAGCTTATCGAGGTAGTCTTTCCCGCAATGCAAACATGCAAACGCCTGCGCCAATGCTGCTGCCACTGCTGCTGCCACTACTGGGAATGTTGCTGTGACGAACGCATCAAACGTGGTCAAGGCCGCCAAGAACAAATGCAAGTGGAAACACAAGCGAGCGACAAACGGCGATGCACCCCACAGCCAAGGCCACGAAAGACACCCACTCAGCACAATCGACTACTAGTATGGCCAAGTGTTGCCGTAGTCCCATTCCCGTACATGTGTTGTCGCCGTCGCGAACACACAACCCTTCTATATTTCTTTGTGATAGCAACAACGCCGGATTCCGTACCCGACGACCTCCCCCTCCCCCCTCAACACCTCGGGCAAGATTTTGCATTCAGATATTTTCTTTCCTCCTCCGATCGGTTCCTCCGCGTTTCTCGACAAAAACAATCGCGGCTGTTCTTTCCATTTCGCAGCATGCTCTCGAGGGCTGTCCTGGTCTGTGAATAGGATCTCCTTAGCTGAGGGGAACTGCAGCCACATGCGAGTCATCAGCAATCGTCGACATCTTCGACACGTCGAGGGTGCTGGTCTTGTTAAGGGTGTAGCCGGGGTCCAGCCAGTGAGCAGGAAGGCAGGTCCACAGCGTGCGGTCCATTTTCCTGGCCGTGTGAGATCGTTCGACGGCGGCGTGCGATAGATGGGGTCAGCACAAGAACGAAGGAATTCACGAGAGATGTGGAATCTTATGGCAACTTGAGTTCAAACAACACCCCACTCCAACGCCGAAAAAAAGCATCCCACGGATGCACCGTCGATATGAGTTGTTGTTCCTCCATACATAATGTGGCCCTCGCCGACAGACAGCATGCATCACGAGTGGAACTTTGGCAAGGGTGTCAAATTTCCCTCCTACCCTGTTGCTTTCGTCGGATCGTCCTGCACGATTACTCCAAAACAGAAGGGGCTTGCAGCTCATACTACGCTAGAGGAAACCTTCCGGTTGAACGGGCTATCAATCCAATGGTCGGCAATCCCATCCCTCCGTTCAAATAGAGGGCCCGAGTGTATGAATCATGTGTTGAATACGGGCAGGCGCCAAGCGCGACCCATCAACCGGCAAGCCGCGTTGTTCGGGATTCCGGGTGTTTTCACGAACACAGCGAGCAGCTTCGTTCGCAGCAAAACATCAATTTTTCTCTTCCACAATGCGTACGCCACAACGAGCAACAAACATGGGTACGGCAAATGAGGACGGCCTTCTCGTACGCGTAAGTAACAGAGAATCCACAACCATCATCATTCCAAATATTTAAGGTTCGCCCAATCGGCTTCCTTGATTGTTCCTTAGGGTTCTTGATGGAGAGAACGTGCACGGTGGCCGACCCAAATCACATATATAGCACGCACCTCTCGATGAAGGACCAAAGGAACATGACAACAACGCTGGTAACTGGAGATAGCAGCGAGTCGAGCCCGGTCCAGTCCTCCATGCGCGGCATGTCGCATGTATCGGGGTCCCAGTGGTCGGAAGCAGGGGCATCGATGAACGTAGGCAGAGGTCCGACCTGATCATATTGGAGTGTTGGAGTACGAGCAAGGAGGGTAAGCGTTCGACGAAAGGAGCAGTTTTTAACGATGGTTTGAGCGGAGTGGCAGAGAGCGTTAACGCACGCGACGACTGTACCTTACGGAAATGTGTGTTGTCTCACAGGTATCGTGTTCTTGCCCAACTGGACTAAGGTGGAAAGCTTGGCATGGGTCGGGAGAACAACATCAGGAATATAGATCCCCCGATTGATCGAAACGCCCCTTTCTCTCACAAACATGCACGTTGCTGACAGCTTGTTGGTTGCGTGTTTTGTCCTGTCGTCAAACGGACGTATTTTGTGATTTGTCAGTCGGCTAACGCGGTCAACCCACGTCAAAGTTACAATAAAGTGCACGCACACCTCCAGGCCGTTCGATGAAGGCGGTCAAAGCAAGCAGACAACTTCACGGCCTCCGGGTGCCCCGACAGTGAAGCTGAAACCGAGCAAACGTCCACACAGAGAGGAGATAGCATAGTGGCACATTGACGCCTGCAGCGTGTGCTTCGTGTTTACCTCGCCGGGGCCATAGTCGAAGTTGAATTCACCGTGCGGGATGGCGAGGAGGCCGTCCTTGGGCAAGGCAAACTCCAGGATAGCGCGAAGGATGGAGCCGAACAGGACAGCCGCGAGAGCGCCTCCAGGGGTCACCTATTGGTTGACGGTGGCGTTGTCATTGATGGTGTGTTACGTCCCACCCATGATAGCTTTCGTGTCTATTCTCCACTTTACCACATCCGGGGAACTTCAACGGTCTTGGTGTGAGTCATGTGTTGACGTGAGGATAGATCAATACCTCGAGTAGGGCTTTGCAATTGGCGACTTTTCCCTAACCCGCGCCCCACTGTTGCTGTTTTGGCTGCTGTTGTTGCTGCTGCCGCTGCCGCGTGTCCCTCTCACGAATTACTTGGTTAGGGTAGAGTCCCGCTGTTTATTGCACATCTTCTCTGCCTACAATATGTAGCATGTACCTACATCCACACCTCCGCTGAGAGGAACATTGGCAGACACACAATCCGTGGGGCGACTCGTTTCGCTGTTTCCTGCTCCTAGTGCTCCCTAGTATCGTTTGCTATTTAGCACCCTGTGAAGTCGGACAAGGCTCGGACTCGTCAGCAGCATGTGCGCGATTCGAATCCAGAATACGTTTTTTCCAAGAACTTTATCGAAAACCGTTCACATCCGGACCGTCCAACTGATGCGAATTCCTTCCGGTCAGTTGGATCTCCTTCCAGGGCCACTATACCCAAGACGGGCACGAAGCATGCATACTGCCGTAAAATTAAGGTGAACTAAATTAATTGCATTCCGTTTCTACAAGAGACAAGCTCACGCGCATTGCAAATAAATGTGCTCCCACGTGTCTTCCTCTCTATCGATACAACTGCCTTGATGATGAGGAAACGGCACCCCCACCGCTGCATGCTTTCTCTAGGTGGCCGTGAT